TATGTGCGGAATGCGAACGGAATTTCGGAATATGTGCGGAATGTGAATGGAAATTCCGTATATTATTTTTCATAGGGTAGCAATAGCAAGAGAAATGTTTGTTCAGAACACTTTTCTTAACTCGCTTAAATAAAACTAGAACGTCTAAATGCTCTTCGGCCAGGTAACCAATTTAAAACGCCCAGTTTATAGATTGGCCAACCCTGAAGTGATGGACTTGAAAGTAAAAAGCGGTCTAAATTCAACAGACAGTTAAAATAAACAACATGAAATAAAAATGTATATAAATTTCAATATTAATAATATATACAATGGTCACCAAAAGTTTTCTGTGTCACAATTTTACTGATGAGAAATTTAAACTTTGGACCATTTGAACTATTTTAATTACACATTATTTTATTATATTAGTTAAAATACAACAAATAAACATGACTCGGCCTTTTTTTTAGAATGATAAAAGTTTCAATTTAACCATATGCTTATTTAATAACGCACATTATAAGAACTATTACACTTGTATAACAAATTATATGTTTCAACTTTCATATCTGATATTCTTGACTTAATTGAGTATGTCATTATACGTAGAAATGTGGACGTGATACAGGGGATGGTGTGTAAATCTCTTTTAAATTTTCTCTTTTGAAAACAATTATGTTTTTATTATTTTTTATTTCACCATCAAGAGTTTCCACATCTCACCAAGCTATGAAAACCAAGTAAATATCATCAATTGTCATCCTAAGTTTTCCTATGGCAGAGTTATCATAAAATTCTCCCTCCTTCCAATTCATGGGGAATTTCTAGTCCTTTGTTATTTACATCTCACATGATTATAATATTTATTTTTTGTGTGTTCATATTTCTCGATTTCATTATTTGTGAGTTTGGTCTTTCTACCTGGATAATAAAATTTACATTCAATATTGATAGCAATATAATCAGCATTTTCAGCTTTTATTTCAAATATCACCATGTCAAATCCACTATTATTTATTTTTGTAGGAACCAATACATAATTTATGAGATTTTTATGTATTCTCCTTTTGTATCACAAATTTCACCAAGTGGAGGAAACTCTGAGCTTTCCAACCTTACAATGCTCATCTTTTGTTGTATTCTGATTTTTGGATGATAATCACTTTCTTGTAAACCATATATGCTACAAAGATCTGCCTCTTCTCCCTCATCATGAAGCATGCGGTAAAGCAACTCCCAATTTGCATGAAATCTTTCAAATGGTTTCCCATCCATAACTTCATCATCAAAAGAATATTCTGTAGCCAATAGGTCTCATAATATTTTAGCTACAGTTTTTGCATCATTATTTGCATTGTTTTTTTGTAAATGCAGAAATATTGAAGACCAACTGGAGATAAGGTTGGGATGACCCAAAAAGTTTCATTAGCATTGACAAAGGAATTAATGTAAATTCCTGAAGAAACAAGTTTTCTGAAGGTTAATGTCACTGAATCAGTTTCTATTTCACATTTCAAAGACATTTCATTTCCTAATAATGCCATCTTAACCATTGAAAATGAGATTCTACCTAACAATTGGTGAAAACTTGTTGTCAGATGTTCAATTAGGGAACTGTAAGAGTCAATATATAAAGCTGTATCATCATTATGTAAAATATGATAAAATGTCTCAATGGTTCTTGGATGGCCATTACAATCTGCAATACATTTCTTAATGATGAACAATCTATGATCAAAATTTTCTATAACTTTATCAATTAATTTGGTTGATTCTGAAAGAACAACCCTTCTCAATGGTATCCAATTGATGAGCCTTTTGGATCTCCCACATATTTATTGCATCAAGAGTAGACACAAAAAAATGGAATTTGCTTTCTGAGGCCGAAAATTGATGATAGGGTTTGTAGAGTTTATTTAGTAACCTTTTGATATTCCCAAGATTTGTAATATTGTCTGATAGAATCTTCATCGTTTCATCAATGTATAAAAATACTGATTTTTTTGAATGATGCATGATGCTTCAAACAGCTGTTAAAATATCCAATGAATCAAAATGATTCCTAAATTTTTTTGTAAAAATCATTCCAACCTAAATTATTCATGTTAAAGAAATAACTCCATAAGATTCGCATGACCAATCTTCCTTGGATATTCCCATCTATATCATCATCATATGGTGAACTTCCATTATATGCTACACACACACTGACTGAATTATGTAGTATATACACAACGTCCTTGGAATACTGTTGTTTTTCACTTTCTGTTCTTCTTCCAGATTAGAAAGTTTTGGTTTTAAATAATGATCAAGATCTTCACTTTTCAGAGAAGCCAACTCATCAAAAAAGAAAGATTTTCCTCCACCTGGTGCAGATTGAAGTGCAGGAAGAGGGTTAAATATTTTATCACCAAGGCCTTTTCTTTCATTCAATGCATTCCTGATAACACAATACTGATAAAAAATATAATCAAATATTTAAAACAATACTTCATCTCTACCTTTTCTTTTAAAATTAAATTTATTTGTGCATAGTTTTTGTGGTTCTGCAAAATTTTCTTTGATTACATCTTGCATTTCTAGAAATTCTGCTATTGACTCAGGACTAAGATCTTTCAGTTTTGTAGGAAAATAACAAAAAAATATTAATATAATGCATAATAGCTAGAAGACTATGTGACATTTATCATAAATTGCAAGAATGTATTTCCCATGCAATGTAATAGGTACATGTACCTATTAGTTTCTCTCTTTTTTTGTTTAAACCTTCATTTTCCTCATCTGAATCCTCTAGTTTTCTTTTTCCCGATTGAATAAAAGAACAAGTTATTCACATTGTTAAAAAGTCGTAAAAAATAGAGAAAAAGATTAATTGGGTTAATGGTGAATGAGTAAAAAGCTATATTATGCTATAACAGTCAGTGTGCAAATCCTTTCTCTTTTTTTTTAATTAGTGCGTGTAACATTCGCTTGAATGCCAATAATTTCTATTCGTGATCCATCAATGAAGGAAAGGATCTACATAGTAAAATTCCGGGATAAGCATCATAGTAAAATCAATTAGTG